TAAAGTAACAGTTATAGGTATTCATATTTATAATATTTATCCACATGTTTCTAGTTTGTATATTCGGAATACGTGTTTGAGTTTCATACAAGTGCAAATCACATATGTTCTAATAAATTATATTCAGTAGTGATTTTAATTGAATATTTTGATTATTTATTTATTTTTTCAAATTAAAACTGAACTTTATTGACTGTGTCCTTTTCCAGACTTTTTATTAATCTATTGTAATTAATTATTTGCATGCAATTAAAAACTAATTTTAAACGATGCCAAAGAAGGATAACTTCTCACGCGCCTACATAAGTACACGCACCCATTTTTTTTATTACACTGTGGTATTAATATCCACAACTATATTATCATTTTCTTTAGATGCAAATGTGCTCAGACAATTATTATAGATGGTAGGCGACATCATAAAGCCTACTGCCATACATTTTTCGCCAAACACCTCCATAAACACATTATAATCTGTATATATGTTAGACTTTAAGGTATCTATCTATGGGCCTATGTTCCGTGACTATAAATTAATAAATAAATAAAATTATAAGGTGTGATACACTAAAAATCTAAAATATGGTTATTTTAAAAACAAAAATAATGAAGCTACTGAATATACTGAAGCTAAAGAACCTAAATCTCTTAGCTTTCTTTGGTTAACGAGAGTTTAAAAAATCTCTCTAATCTGTGGCTCATTCAGAATCATCACACAGATTCTGTCACAGAGTACCTTATTATAACCGGAAATGACACCTGATTTTAAAAGTTACTCTTATGCATTAACTTTAAAAACAAGCAACTATCTGTTTCTACATGCTCTATATACCTGAATCTAATCCATAATTTCGGTACTTGGCTTGATTTCCCTAGTTTACTATATAACTTATTTGTTTTTCATTATTTTAATATGTTCAGTGTATATGGTTTATAGAAGTTCTCAGGGGTGTCCGTCAATAATATTCGTTTCTACAGTAATTTATATATAATTTCGAATCTAGGAAACAATTTTTCATGATTATTGGTCTTTAGGCCAAACATGTATGGAAACTGAGCAATCTCCTTTGACATTAAGATACGAATATTTTCTCGCTAGTTGTTCGTGCTTGGGGTTCAGTGCCTCTAGCACGAACCAATATCGAATTCGAATAGTTGGCGAGTTCGAAATGTCATTGTCAAATTTTGTATGGAAACTTGAACAGCAGCGTCACAATGGACGTAACGAGAACTAAAAATTAGTATACAATGACAATGAAATTTCGGACTCGCAAACTATTCGAATTCAATAATTGTTCGTGCTAGGGGTACTGCTGTGTAAAACGGAGTTAAAAATAAACAAATTCTAATCAATAAAACATACTTTTGTTAACAATACAAAACATTTATTTATAAAAAAATATACTATACAATCTCAATAGAGAGTAAATCTTATATACAGGCCAGTACTACAATAAATAACACCTAAAAGCATAACACGACAATTCTCTACAAAAATCACTCTCAATAACAGATTTGTACTTTCTTAGTTAGTTACATCACAAACGAGCTATTTTATTTAAATATAAACAAGTAGTAATAGAACATTCGCGCTCCAGTTCATTATTATAATGATATGTGTGTAAACACATTTTTTTAACACACAAAATACTAGTTTATATTATACGTCGTTAAATTACCACACATTTATTTAAAAATAATTTAGAAAATATTTTATTATAAATTTAAATTCATGCATAGTTTAAGTTCAGAATTATTTAAGAACCGTATTATTTGTGTAAGCAGTTGTGTTGCATGTAAGTGTTGTGTTCAACAGTTCATTGGAGCCACAGCGGATTTATTTATTAATATTTCTATTTTAGAATTTAATAAATATTAGCCCATAGATATATATTTTTGATCACAAAACAAGGAAGAGATTAATAATTGCACTAGACTAGTATTGACGTTTAAGGACCAGTTCTTCCTTTGTCTTTCTAGTTATAACCTCTTCTGGATTCGACCATTTCTTGTGAAGCCTAGTTCTTGTATGCACTATTTCTGCTTTTGACTACATTTATTGCAGTGTACAATAAGGCGCTGTGCAGACGCGGGGCGGAGCGTGCCGGTCAATTTCGCCGCGAACGATAGCACAAAGTGAATCCTATACTACAAACGCTCACAAAGGGCAAAAAGACCGCGCCACAGGTGCCCGGCGGGCACTGGCGATGCGGCATGTACACGGCTGCCCGCCGTGGATCATACAAACCAGTTTATATGCAGTAACGCAGACGGCGGCGCGGGGCGGCTAACTCAATCCGCGCCACGCTGTTTTTAGTGATGGACTATTCACTAGAACGAACGTCCTGAACTGACTGCCTCTGCCCGTCGTGTGCTTTGTGTACGCGGCGAGGGCAGCCGCAGACATCGACGGGCAGACGCGGTTTTTATTGCTTAGCGGACAAGCCCCGCCCCGTCGTCTGCAAAGCGCCTAATACGCAACTTTTTTTTAACGTCCTCGTAGCGTAACTCGACAAGAAGTAAACCATAAAAAATCATGTAATATAATAATAAAATTATCATGACATCAGTAACATAACTTCATAACTTGTTATATATTACTAGCAAACCAGTGAACCAAATGTTCACCAAAACCTGATTTCTCGAAAACCGGAAGTGCTACGTTACTCAAATCCGGTTTGTAGTCTTATCAGACTATTCTTAACTTATAACTTAAATATTCTCTTTATCTATCTCTTACGGTTTGGCCGCTGAAACAGCACCACAGACAGACGGACTTGTCTAATAGATAAGAGACTTTCAACATTTTCTTTTTACAAATTTTAATTTTTTTTCAGCTTTATGTTTAAATCTAAAGAAAAAATTCCACACGGACCAGGCAGCAGAAGGGACTCGAACCCGCACCCTTCGCTATCCGGGATGCACTGACCAATTATGCTACCGCGGCCCTGATGGCCGCGTCGAAATCCTTCTAGCCATTCTTAAGCTGCAACGCAGCTCTATCTCTTCGCATTATAGGTAACCCACAATGTCAAATGAATACTCTTACACGTATTAAACATTTGAAAGAAGAAATAGCAGTTAAAGTTACATTTTTTTTAAGCATGTTACTTATTGCTTGATGTTTAAATCTAAAGAAAATATAACTAGAAAAAATTCCACGCGGACTATTTTTTTATCCTTTTGCACACTGTATTGAGGAACAAGCACATATGAACAAAGTAGACGAAAATCGAAATGGTCGAATCCAGAAACAGTCAGATTACAAGGTAGTCTTAAGCAGAAGTGGCCATAACTAGAAATGGTCGTTCGCAGAGGCAGTCATTTCAAGAAGTCGTCTCCAAACGTCGATCCCGTATGGGTGGGTATATTACCTGAGGTGAAAGGTCGTATGTAAGAAATAACATTTCGTTATTTATAACTGTATTCCTTTGTGAAATGGTTGTTATTAGGTTCAACTTAAATTGTTTTACATTTGTCTTTGTTTGTTGGTAATCGAATGTAGCTGCATAAGTATATACACTCGCGGACAGTTTTTTGATTTGATTTTGTATGCAACCCGTTATCTATAGAATTGTTGATCTTCCATCAAACTGTACAAATAGTACACATTTTTATTCAAATTATTATTATAATATAATAATCTACATAAATTTATATTAATTTTATACATATGACAATAAACAAAATTATATATTCTTTGCCTTTTAATCATTTCAATAAAGTTGAAAGAAAGAAAAGGTAAATAATTATTTAACATTCGCGTGCCAATAAACACATTTATTTCCCTCCACACATCGCGCGTGTGGCAATACAACAGATTTATATACCTTCTAATACCTTCGCTTTAATAAATAAATAGACTTCATCGCAGCTACATCGGTTGTAAAGTTTCTCAGTCTCTTAATAATTGTATAAAAATTAGGCATTTTAAAGGTATCGATGTTAGCTTTTCGTTGAAGAAATTTAAAAACCTTTAGTTGCAGTAGAGTTTTAAAATAACGTAATGGCACATAAAGACAACGTTTTAGCTAATTGCTTGTCTAAAATTTGTATCTGTATATATTGCTTGCCAACTTTGAATTCATGGTAATATCTCTTAGTATTTAAACTTTGTTGTGTACCTATTATATCAGCCCCCCCTAGCATGAGCACAGTGATATATTGGTGTCGATTCTAGCACGATTCTCTAAATCTAAACATAAATTTGACAACAGTGTATCCTTGTCATTCTCTATACAGAATGAAAAGGAGAGACTGATGTTAAATTTAGTTTTAAGTTTAGAGAATCACGCCGGAATCGACACCACTGTTTAATTAATCAAAATCAAAATTAATTTATTCAGTCTAGGCTGTTACAAGCACTGTGAAGGTAGAGAAGTCACGCCATCGGTTCGCAAATCCACGACGCGAGACCTTGTACTGAGAATAACAAGGAAGAAACTCGGCAAGGGCTGTTTTTTATCCCTGTATACAGAGTCGTCAAGTGGTGTGTGCTCATTCTACGGCGACTATTTTATTTTATCTATATCAGCTTAATTGTGCAGTGCTTTTAAATATTAATAGAAACTGTATCAAAAATATACACATGTAACATGTTAAACAACATGACAAATACTGATGTAAATACAGAACTATTGAACTACCAGTATAAATAAATAAAAGGGATTAAACTCTTAAAATGATGATTAAAAGTTGGTATTTTGTGCGCAAAATAAAAAAGAAATATTCCTAACACCTTTGGAAAGAACTGTTACCCAAAGGTATGCTGTGAAGAGACAACATAATACTTGCTAAATAAAGCCTTGTGAAGGTGGTTAATCTCTATGGTTTTTTTATTAGTCTGGGAATTAAACTAAATTGCTGACATACACTTACGAATAAAAACATTTACAGTCTCAGGGTCGGCCCCAAAATAGTAGTGGTATGATGATGTGATGATGGTATGATGCTACATCACACACACATTTCAGATCACAGTGAGGGTAAGTGACCTCCATCTTACAGATTACAGTGACCTCCATCTTACAGATCACAGTGACCTCCAGCTTACAGAAGACCACAGTGAAATAACACTACCTCTTGCTAGTGTTATCTGTTGGTCAGTAAGATTTCCAGGGCCTCTCCTCGGGGTAGGGGATTGGGTTCAGAAAGGCTAGTTAGATGGTTATGTATGTCTGTCTCATCAGGTATCTTAGCGACTTCTATTTCACATCATTCAGTTGTGTGTGGCTAAGTCATTTGATATGTTTTGTACACAAATAAAAAAAATTGTACGTTGCTTTCTGTAACATAACCAGTTTAGCTATTTTCATTTCTACGCCTTTCAGTTAAGGGTCATTTTGGTTTGTAGGACGGAGTTGGCATATTTTGGCATATGTATATCGCGACCAATTTACATGATTATTGCAATTTCAATATTGAGCAGGGGACAGCGCGAATGTCACAGGAACGTTGTACGTGTTCAGTGTGAAGTGAGCCGTGGGTCAGTTGACATGTTCTCCGTCTTTAAACTTCTTTTTCGATCGTTCGAACGCTTCCTTAATGCAAGCTCTGTTGGGAAGGAAATGTTGTACATATATCACAAACGCTTAAAATATTTGTAAGTATGAAAAATAAGCAATGACTGCAATCAATTGTTTTACGATTTTTAAGAGCAAGTAAATTACAGAACATTGTCACCGTAATCACGTCAACAAATATATGGGATCAAATTGCACCCCCCCCCCTTTATAACGCAGGCAAAACCTGTTTCGAGACGACGGCGCCTTTAAGAGGCACATCGCCGAACGGACCTCACACCTCGCTCCCGCGAGGCTTACGGGCCCCCGCAGTGGCTGCCCACTGAGGACCCCGTAACTCTTACGGGCGCTTTACGGTATAATATCCGTTAAAAATCCCTGCGAATACCCTCGAAACTGCTTAGTGGAAAGCCACGGGACCGTTTGGGGATTCTTCCGCGTTACACCATAGATTTGATAAGTCGTGCATTCTTTTTGCTTCGCGGTCCACTTCAGAAGCTTCCAGGGACCACCGGTTGAGAACTACTAGTCTAGAAGCTGATACTCAATCGAACCTTTTCCTCCGGCTGAAGGCCGTATCGATCACCTCCGTGGCCGAGTGGTTCGTACGCCGGGTTTCATGGTGTCGCCGACTCGAGAGGTCCCGGGTTCGAGTCCCGGTGGGGTGGTGGGGTGGGTGGAGATGTTTGTGTGATGAATACGAGCATTTGTACTCCAGTCATGGATGTTTAATATGAATTTCTATATAATAATACTTATATATGTATCAGTATATGTATTCTATCCGTTACCCTAGCATCCCATAACACAAGGTTTACAGTGCTTACTTTGGGGCTAGGTTAATTGATGTGAGTGTTGGAAATATTATTATTGTCCCACCTGAACATTGACTGATGCAGTATATATGCGGACACGTGACCAGCGTCCACGTAGCGCACTTCTGCCCCCGGCCAGATCTCTTCTAGACCACCGACGTCGTCGCGTGGAACGTACGCGTCATGCTTGGCGCAAACCGCTAAGGAAAAGTAATCATCTTTAAAATAAAATGGTAGGAAAGTCAAAACTCTACATTTAATATTTTTTTAAAAGAATACTTGGGATAATCTACAATCGATACCGAAGGCAAAAATATAGTTTTTAGAATTTTGACTGTTTGTCTGTATGTATGTCCGGGATAAACTCAAAAAGTACTGCATGGATTTACTAAAAATTTGCCACGAATATTATTAAGAAGTCGGATCAACATATTATCACGCTATCACCTACGGGGAACGAGCAGTGATCACTACAGCGGCTACGTCACGGACGCGGACGTCGCGGGGCGCGGTATGCGGGAGACGCGAACCGGCCTGGAACCTACCGCCCCTACCCCAGCCTACGAATTTGGGATATTTAAATAAATAAAAATACGCATAGATGTATAATAGCACTTCTCAAAAATGTTAATTAAATAAATAGCAGCCCCGTAGTTTATGAATAAAAAATAGGTAAAGATCGCGCATCTTATAACGTCGATATCTCTTCAGATATGTACTTACAATTCGGTACTTCTTATAATCTAAAAAAACTGCACCCTGCTTGAATCTAATTGCACCATCGCGAAAAATCCATAAAATGCAATATTAATTGCAAAAAAATAATAAAACTCAATTTATCAATCACCGAACTGCACGGCGTCTTGGCGCATGCGCGCAGGGGGTGTCAACACCATACATTGAATTCATACAAAATGTAAAATACCTACGGGGACAGCCGATTTTATGATTGTAGACCTAATACGTCACTTCACCCAACTAAAAATGGCGTTAGTCGTCTTCTTTGCCGATAACGTGTTTGTTTTGTAGTGTTTTTTGATGTATTTTGTGATCACAACGTTGAGTTGAGCTTCGGTTCCTCCGTTCGAATATTATAAAGTGCATCGGTTTGTGAGACAGATGAGTTATTGGGGACACGCCCTACACGAACAAAAATTAGCATTTTAAAGTTAAATATTTCGTAAACGGATCCCTAAATTGAAAAATAGTCTTAGGAAACCCGAAGGAATTTTAAAGTAGGTAGACGATGAAAAAATGAAATCATCTCCAGGTACATGTATGTAGGGGAGCTACCCTAAAAATTTTTTTTTCAAAATTTTATTCTACCATTTTGTTGGCATTATTGATTTACATATCTCAATTATTATATTATAAAATTACAGCCTTCTAGTGCTAAGTCTCAAAGCAAAATTGGGGACGGACAGACAGATGGACATGACGAAACTATAAGGGTTCCTTGTCAGGATTACGGAACCCTAAAAAGAAAAATATCGGAATCTGTGCTAACTTACCAATAATCAAGGAAGTGTCGTACGGTACCGAGAAGTTGCTGAGATGCGTGCACTCATCCATAACGCCGCGCATGAATTGTAGCGCCTCTCTGTCCCTCCAGTGAATTTTGTTTATGTCTATCTTCTTCCCACTCGACTTCAGGAAAGGCAAGTTCATCCAAAAGTCCGAAGTTAGCTCCGAAACGTTCCAACTCCACTCGCTCTTCTTGGGCTTTGCAACTGACTTTTCTTTGGTGTCTACCTCTTCTGCTTTCGGCAGTTCTATTTTTGGATTACTCTCTGGTGACATTTGTAGGTATTCTTTTTTTGCCGTTTCATGGCTAGAGACTTCTTCTTTGCTGTCGTTAATTTCGCTTTGTATTAACGCTGAAACAAATTTAAGTTCATCTAAAAAAATGTCTTTGTTATAAAATGTTTAAAAAACTGAAAAATGCCGTTCACTTACCCACTTTATATTTCAACAACAACTCTCTGATACGACTTTCGGTCAGTTTGTTTATATCCTCAATATCTTTGGAATCTAGCTCAAATTTTTCATTGGAGATCAATTTGTCGTAAAGTTCTTTACTAATTTTGCTATTATCTAATAACTTTTTTAATTCCTCATGCACTATAGCTAAATGTTTACTATACTCTGTTTGTGGGTCGTTTTTGCAAATTTTATTATCCACTTCATTCTTTGTCATCTCCAAGACAATGGGTTCTTTGGCACTTTCAGGTTCTCTATATGTCACATCAACATTTTTGTCTTGGTTTTCCCTGTAATCTGTTTTAGGTCGATCCTGAGTCTTTTCCATAGTTCGAGAGTAGGAGCGTGCAAATTTCTTTCCCGCTAAGAAAGCTTCGTCCACTATAGTCACCATTTTGGAAAGTTTTTCCCTGTACACACCGTCTGAGAGGTACTGATCTTCCAAAAGGTCCCAATTTATTGACTGTGACATCACACCCTGAAAATTGTTTTTAAAACTTTAACTTTGACTGATTTGATGTTATCAACATACGAACAAAATGAAAATTTTAACATTTTATTTTTACATGAATCCTATAAAGATGGTTTTAAAAAGATTTTTAGAATCGGAACAGAAAATAAGATCTATTGTTAATTAATAGTTACGATATTATTTTGTATGTGTTAGCAATATGAAGTGGTGGTGGTAACCTGTAAAAAAACTGCTGAGGCAGTAGACCAGGACAGGCAAGGTACTAGAACTAATGGCTTGGGCCAATTGGTAGCTGCTAGCGATGCCATCTGAAATAATAGTTTATTTTTTATCAGAAATGATATGGAAGCATTTATCTCTAACAAAAGCCTCCAAAACATGGTTCCAACTAATACAACTAAAATTCAATACTAACGCGACACGTACACACACAAAACAAAACACTTCGATTAATCTAATATCTGCAAATGAATTCAGCTATCCATTCATTGGGTAAGATAATGTTAAACGGAAATCCCAACAAATCCCATGATCATAGTGTTTGTTGATCGCAGTCTTTTTGTCCCGCCGTCTTGATCGCAGTTTGCATGGAACCACTTTTTAGGACAGTTCGTAATCCATATTATTTCTGATTCGTTGCTTTTTGGGTTCCGTTCCGTTCCCAAATGGTGACAACGGGACCATATTACAAAATTTCCATTGTCCACCCGGGACAGCGGGGTGAGTCTCTCTCATGATCCATGACAGGCACGTAGTAGGAATTCTAATAAAATGTGTATATTTCGCGCCATAACAAAATAAAAATGAAATAAGTTAAAAAAATAAATAACGGAATTCACATGCGATAGAAAAGATTACATTTATTTTTCAGAAAGTGAACACTAATTACTCAAAAATACTGAATACTGGGCGTTGATAAGTCAGTCAATCAGAGGCTGAAACAAGAACTTTGACAGATACGTAATCGTATCGTCATTGTTAAATTTGTACGGAGAAGGAGCCAATTTGTTTTACGTCATGTAGGGGGCGCTGTTTAGTTGTCATAGAAACATTGACGATGCGATACGATTACGGAGCAGTTAAACTTCGTGCTTAAGTTCTGGCTTTCTCTCTTCATATTTATATAGAATTTTACCAACCAAATTGGAGGATCTATTTGTTACCGTCAGTTTTTATTTTATTTCTTATGTTAGTACCTATCTCTTTTCCTTATCTTAGGTTTTATTTCGAAATATTTATTCAGTAAAAATTACTGTAACAAAATTTGCAAACATTTGATAGGTAAGGTTTGTTTTAAAAAACCGGCCAAGTCCGACTCGCGCACGAAGAATTCCGTACCTACTATTATTTATACAACATTAGACACTTTATTATAATATCGAGAAAAAAATGGCATAAATCATATATGTTGTACTATGGGAGCCCTTCTTAAATATTTATTTAATTTTTTATTTATTTTGAAAGACTGTATATAACTAAATAGTCTGTGTATTCAAGCGTCCATTTGTTGCTGTTACTAATAAAGAGTACAAAACAGCAAAAAATCACGTTGGCTAAGCAAAACAAAGCAAAACTGCACCTTACTGTATTGTAACAAGATCTATTTTGTCTGTACTCACGTGTCCGCCCATCGAGAGACCGGTGACGCCCAGCGGGCCGAGTCCGTTGCGCTCGCACCAGTGGAACAGAACGAGCGACTCCAGAATCAAACACCCACCCATCACGAATATGTCTGACACATTGTGCAGCGAGGACCGACTACAATGACCGAAAAATGTTTAATCAACGAATTAGTCATGATATGGAATACGAACTGCGCTGAATAGTGGTTACACATAAACTGCGATTAAGTGGGCAGGGCGGAAAAAGTGCTATCAACATGCCGATCATGTGATTAGTTGGGATTTCCGTTTAATTAATCATTATCTTACCCAATGAATGGCAATGGGTAGCAAAATTCAGGTGATTTGTCAAATTATTTTGATTTGTCTGTATGCGTGTGGCGTTATTATTGAAGTTCAGTTGTATGAGATTGGAAATATGTTGTATGGACCTTTATTAGAGAGTAATACTTCCATACCATTTCTGATTCGTTGATAATAAATAATACTTAAAATAACAATTTATTAAACTACAATTGCTATTTCTTTTCTCAAATGATAAAGTATTTCGTTAGACATTGTGAGTTACCTACAATACGAAGAGATGGCGCTGCCTTGCTAAGAAATACAATACAATAAATTCGACACAGGTTAGTGCGTCTGCCCGGACAGCGGAAGACGCAGGTTCGAATCCTGTCTGATATCTGAACCGAATGGAATATTTTCTAGCAAGATTTTCTTTAGATTTATGCCGGGCACTTACATATTGTGTGCAAACATTCATACATAGCACCCATGTGAATAGCTGATAAAAAGTCATTAGCAAATGCCTGTGCGAACCCACTTGGGCTCCTTCTACACTTGTTTACAAATGACAGTAAACTTTGCAAATGTGTTATTGTTTTTATGTAATGGAGAACATAAACTAACCAATAATATTATTAAACGCGCTGAGACTATGATTTTGTAGAAAAAAAATGACATAAATGATATTATTTGCCGTTACCTTGTCAACCGGCTGCGCAAATGTGCGGAAGACTACGCGAAGGTTCGTAGACTTAGATGTGCGCCAAAAATCGACACTACTTGTAAAAGCACGAATATTGAAAAAAATTGCGAAGCTATTCGCGAATGTCGTCCCACACGTGCAGGTTCACGCATTCGTTCGAATGCGAGTGAAGGGAGTTACAAATGAAAAACTTATTAGCGGCAAAATTCACTCGCAATCAATTTTACATACAAAAACGTCTACTGCGCAAGTTTATTTGTCTGTAGTTTAGTTCAAGAAGTTTGCCGCTACATATACCGTACGGTAAACTTCTTACGGGGACACAGAAGCTCATTGCATTTATTGCTGACTTATCTAGTCTTTGTTCATTTATAAATAAACGAGGAATAAACTTAGACTTGTTATTCAATGAACGGAGGCAAAACATTGAGTATGTAATTAATCCAAGCTCATTCTTCGTTTATTGATAAAAGGGGTTAATGATTATAAGGCCTTTATAGAGTGGAAGCACTTTTTTTCGGAGGTTTACATAAAAAAGTCATTTCCAAATAAGTCAATATCATATAAATACTTTAGCAGTACTAATTCTACCCGTTTGCTTCGAGTTAGCCGTCGATGACTGTTACAAAATGTGTCACAGGCACATGAACTAGTACCTTCGACCAACACGGTCTGTCTAGGAGCGCGGTGCGGTGAAGCGAGTAGGGTGGGAACAGCCAACTCGAAGCGAATGCGCTGTACTTTTCTTGCCTCCAATTCAATTAATTTTAAGGAAGGATCATGTGTTTCAACCTTAGATTAAAACAAAAAGGGAAGATACGGTACGCTCATACAATCATCAAATGAAATAAGCTATGACTCAACTACATAAGCAACTCTCACACGCACATATTTGTAAATAAACATTCAATCGAGCGAGCGAGACAAAATTGTACGTTTCAACACAGCGCGAGCGAGACGAGAAAATAATCCACACGGGTAAGCTGTAATGTTGTCCTTTTCTTGATAACAAAATGGCGATTACGTGAATAGCATTCACGGCAAACAGTTTTTTGAGAAAAAAATGCTTTTACACTTTTACGAATGAAAAGTGTTTCCGAGTCATTTGTTATTTGATCTTGAACTATTTGTTCTTTATAAAAGCATGGAAGGGATTATTTTATCTTTATAACACAGAATATACGCAATATTGTTGTATTACATAGTGTTTGAGAATGTACAATCGTGACTAAAGCGAATTGGGGTCATGCACCACAATTTAAGCGGATCACTTTTGCGCCGCGAGTGCTGTATCTTCATTTTTTGTTTTAATCTAAGGTTTCAACCTAATGTACTCACACTTGATCGATGGGTTTGCGAAGGCCATAGAATGGGTTCTCCAGAATGATACCGCCAATTCCAGCTTCTTTAAGTAGGGGTTTGACCATTAAATTTCTCCGTCGCCAGAAGAACTGTTAGGAAGAAATATTAATAATGAAAAACCACAATGCGTGTTATGTGTGATTGTGAACGGTTTCAATATATCAACACATCTAAAAGTAAAATCCCATAGCAAGTGCGATGTTTTACTAGGAAAAGCTTAATCAAAGTCACTTTTTTGACAAAATGATTTGTTTGTAGGCACGAGGAGGTAAATGTTATATATAAAATTCTCGTGTAACAATGTTATTTACCATACTCCACCGAAACGGCTTGACCGATTTTTATGAAATTTTATATGCAAATTCAGTAGGTCTGAAAACTGGCTACTGTCTATTTTTCATACCCCTAAGTGATAAGAGATGTCCACCCTAACATTTTATTTTTAGTTTTAGGGCAATTTATTTATAATTTTGCATTAAAAAATACATACAACTCTAAATTTTCACCCTTCTACCACCAACTCCTAATTTTATGGCGTTACGAAGTTCGCTAGGTCAGCTAGTTATCTCTAAAAATGCTAAACCTATGCAAAGCTGGGATGGGTAATCAGGGCTCGATTGAGAAGTGTTGAGGGTCAACGAAAGAGTGGAAGCGTATTTTTATATCTAGCACCTATATATGCCTCCCCCCCCCCCTCCCGCTCCTGGTCCTGGTGAAATTTGGTTTTAATCTCGGTTCTATAACACCCATATTATCTCGAAACACTAAAAATTCACAACTGTTCGTTTCCAGAGAGCTTTTCTTCCACGGACAATAAAATTATGGAATGAGGGCCCCCTTCACGGTGTTGATATTTCGCTTCAAGAGAGGCGTAAATAGAGTGTTCCACGAAAGGCAGCGGCATGGCTGTGACCACTTAACATCCGGTTGCCCATCCGCTCGTCTGCTTTTGAAGGCAGTATAAAAAATCGTGATGCGATGGCCTTACAACACAATAATCGTGTTGCGGTGGTCAAAATCAACACCGAAGCGCAACTTGGCGCGTACACCATCACAAGCGAATCTCGACCTTAGATTTTAGGGTCCTCCCATTTATTGCCTTTTCCCAAAATTAAACAAGATCCTCGCAGTATACGGAATGGCAAAAATAGGGGAAAGAGAGGTGCACTTTTGTATAGTAAGAAATGTTATGTATTTCTGTTGTATTTTCTAAAAAAGCGTGTTTAGTTATGAGGGCGTGAATCCCTGACATAATTAAAAAATAAAACCTCCTTAAAATTATTTTAAATAAAAAAAAAATCTTATCCATTATAAATACGCCAGAAAATATGATATTATTGAATACAATAATAATTGGCAAAAGTCACAATCAAGAGTAAATAACAGATCACGCCAAAACAAACATTACGAAAATAAAACTGTACAGGCAACAACACTCCACGTCTTTCAATGTGACATAGTGTTATTTTTAACTTTATCTGATAAAGTTTATCATGACATTGCATTTGAGTCGAAAAAGGTTGAGTAATTTTGTCAATGTAATAAGCTCCTGTGCAGTTGACTGTACTTCATTTCTATTGAAACACAAACTGACTGCAAAGAGCGCAAGAGAATAGATATCTGATGACGCAACGATAGAACGACATCTTACATAACATGACGTGATACGTGATTGCTAATTTAAACTCCTAGCTAGAAGCTCACAAAGGCAAATGGTAGGCAAATCGCCATGATTGTGTTACACATATGTATTTATATTATATTGAATTCTAGTCTTATTTAATTACTTATATAAAATGATCTCTTTTCTTGTTTGAAAATTGCTAAAAAAATTATAAGAAAATTACACTGGTTTTTATTTTTATATTTAAATTAAATCAATTATGCAATCAAAATAGTAATTTCATTTAATGAGTTGTTGATTACATAGCAATTTAGACCAAAGTCTAAGTTTAAGTCTCTAGATATGTATTTTTCTTTCAAAATTGCCTAATCCCAGATGTCCTCTATTTAGGATTTTATTTTTAAAGAAAAATAAATATATTAAATCTAAATGTCGTTAAATAACTGACTTCACATGTATAAATATTATATCAAACACAATATTTAATATAAGGATTTGGAAACCTGATTAATGATTGTTTTATAAATATTTATTGGCAGTTTACAAAAACCTTTAAAAGAAAAAGTTAGAAGTAGATAGAAGGCTTACACTACCATCCCATTTTAATTTTATTAGCCTTATCATACTTATCAAAGTTTGAGAAGAACATATAATGCATCAGAGGATTCTCATTTTCCTGCAATTTATCGATTTCCATGTATTTGATATGTGATATTCTTTTCATAGATAGCAAAAGAAACCAAAATATATGTATATAAACAACTAGCTTCCACCTGCTACTTCATCCGTGTTGGTTTTTTAGCATCCAACAGGAACCTAACAGTTTTTGATAAGAGATTAGAAGTATCCTATGTCTGATAGTAAGCTATGTGTGTGCCAAATCTCATCCAAGTCTGTTCAGCCGTTTTTTTGGTATGTAACAAACATACAAACTTTAACATTTGTAATTTAGTTTAATTAGTAGGATGTAATACACTTCTTTTTTGTGGTCTTCAATTTATTATTATAAAGCAAAACAAACGCAGTTCTGTGATGGTGACTGGAACTAATGCTGACATTAAAACAAATTACATCAATGCAAAACAATCTGGAAAACTCACTATAATTAATAAAACAAAAACAAGCAGAGCTTGTATTTAAAACATACATGACTTGGGAATTCACACTAAAAATGCTTCTACTTGGTTTCTCCTTTCAAACAAAAGACCGTTGTAGCAAACATTCTTAAGATTCTTGGCATCATCATGGCAAAATACGATACTTATAAGCATAAGTAAATATTGAATTCAAATAAGACTATTTCCCACCATTGTCTTCATGCAATATGTAAGATCTCAAATCAACTGGCATGTTTGCCACTATAATCATATAAGTTCTATCTGCATATGTATTAAAGGCCAATGCTAAAATTCACACAAGCCAATATTTATGAACACTTGTGAGTGTCAACTGGAACAGCTAGTGGTTCGTGATGTTGAACTGGGCATATGGGATTTACATATTGGTCTCTTCAGACAGGTCAATCTGTGATAGGTGTTGTTGAACATCATATTGACTGACAATGACTGGGCAAGATTTATATAATTTCTCTCGAGGTTGCTTAGCCTAAGATTTCCCTATGTTGTAGTAAAGAGCAATGAAACTCACATACAAACAAAAATACATACATGATCACCAGTGCCAGCTAGGTGAAGGCAGACAGGTTTGCATGAGGGATCCCGCCAATGTACTGGGAGAAGTACTTGAAAGTGAGCCTTCTGTGCAATCTCAGGTACAATCCCTGGGAGGTATCTCTCTAATGGCGAGATAAAATAACCTTCAAGGAGACGGCAGTCTGTGAGATTTTGTTCCTGTTTGATTTTAAATAATTTGAATTGGTTGTCATAAACTATCATTAAATGAACTTCTGTATTTGATAGCAGTAATAATGTTTTTACATTCTTATAGCTTTCAATAACATAAAAAGGAATACTGTAGAAACTACCTACTCACTTCATAATCTGTAATCACTATCAGCCAAATGAAAAGAGATATATAACTACTTATAATATTTAAATTAGTATAAACATAAAAACGAGAACAAACCTTAGTGATAGTCACAGGGTAATCTCTCTCTATTAATTTGAAACACTTATCACGATTAGATACTACTTTCCTGAACTCAAATAACCTGAAAATGTGAAACATGACAGGGTTTACTTCTCTTTATTATCGAAGACTTATTTGTTGTTACGAATTTCATAACTTCGTTATTGGAAAAGTAATAACATAGCATAACACTTATTAACGTATTTACCTGCGTAAATTTTCAGGTTTCCCCCATCCTTTTGTAAAAAATTTTGTAAGTAAAATACTTCGATAAACTGCATCTAACCTGCTGGTGGACATTTTGTTTAGGCCGAGAATGAGCACAACGTATGTATTATATTGATTTAAAAATTAATTTTGTCGCATTAAATTAAGTACTGAACTTTCTATTACATTTTGAGGTTTATCTACTGTAAATGAGGTTATGAATGATTGAAATAGACGTCAAAAGTCAACATCAACAACATCCATTTATCGACAGACAGAGACAGGCATATGTCATAATATTTTAGGCTTGGGAAAAAATATCGATATATGTACATATATGGAGGTCCACATCAAAACGTTACATTTACAGCTTAAATGATTTTACACAATTTGATAAAAACGAATTAATCATCAATCCTTAAAGCAATCTCTATACTCACTATGGTTCAGAGGGAATAATCTTCTTTAGCGTATAAAATTGTTACGTTTTGGTGCAACTTGTTGATTTCATAGCGCATTGAAATCAACAAGTTGCACGAATACGAAATTGAACGAGCTTTGTTGCAACTTCAATAGAGTTTTCGATAGAAATCAGGAATTGGAACCCAAGGAATATTTTTTGAATTACATGTCAAATGTAACGTTCTGGTGTGGACCTCCACATATATCATTAATTGATTGTTTTAGTGTCTATCAAGTCGTTCGTACACCACATCGAGTTCGTCGATTAAAGTAAGTAAGTATTACAGAACTTAAACTCATTTATTCAGTCTAGGCTGTTACAAGCTCTTGTGAAAGTCAAACGCTACGCCATCGGTTCGTAAATCTACGGACCGAGACCTTGTACTGAGAAGAACCGGCGAGAAACTCAGCAAGGGCTATTTTTTCTCCCTGTTTTGTTTCATACAGTGTCAATTGAAAGATGACATCAAAAATTGTAAACATGTGTTGATGTCAACTTCCATCACATTAATATTATTAATAAAAGTTAAGTATAGCTAGGTACTATTTTTAATTTTAGAAGTGGCGATTAAACAATTTTCAACCAAATTAGAAAAGTAAAACGACTTAGTCTATTATATTAAGCCCAAGGTGACTTATCATTAATGAAATCTTTAACAGCATAGTAACCTTTCTTAAGAAGACATGTTTTTATACACACTTTAAACTTATGAAAAGGTTAATTAATTATTTCTTTTGGTATTTTATTATAGTAACATATACCTTGACCCACAAATGAACCAAGAACCTTTTGGAGTCTCAATGGTGGCAATTTGAGTTTATCTTTATTTCAGGTATTGAAATTATGTACATCATCACGCCTCGCATATAAATTTATGTTCTGACGTACAAACAATATACAATTGTAAATGTATTGAGAGGCAACAGTCATTATACCTATTTCTTTAAATTTATCCCTAAGAGAAGTTCGAGATCCCAAGCGATAAATAGCTCTTATAGCTCGTTTTTGAAGAATAAAAACTGTTATAATTTTTATTATTTTTAAAGCATGTAACTGCTTGATGTTTCTAGTTACAGCTATATATATAGTTATATAAATCTAAAAAAAATATAACAAGAAAAAATTCCACGCGGTCCAGGCAGCAGATGGGACGCGAACCCGCACCCTTCGCTATCCGGGCGAATTCACTGACCAATAATAATTTGCTGCCTGGTCCGCGTGGAATTTTTTCTTGTTATATTTTTTTTAGATTTAAACATCAAGCAGTTACATGCTTTAAAAATTATAACTATAATTGCTATTTCTTCTTTCAAATGTTTAATACTTGTAAAAGTATTCATTTGACACTGTGGGTTACCTATAATGCGAAGAGATGGCGCTGCTTTGCACCTTAAGAATGGCTAGAAGAATTTCGACGCGATCCGGATTGCGAAGGATGCGGGTTCGAGTCCCGTCTGCTGCCTGGTCCGCGTGGATTTTTTGCTCGTTATATTTTCTTTTAATAAAAACTGTTTCAATGTCAGCGGCCGTGCCCCATAATAGAATGCCATACGACATAATGCTGTGAAAGTAGCTGTATTGTCCTAGCGGTGTCGACATCTGTAAACCGTCTTATTTTATAAATTGCATAAGCAGCAGAACTTAGTTTACCGGCTAGTGTTGTAATGTGAGGGTTCCATTGAAGTTTGTGGTCTAGTGTTACGCCTAAGAAACGGTTGTATCGACTAAAATTAATTTTTCACCATTTAGAATTATAACCCCCATTTTAGCATGCTTTACATTCGGCAAAGTAAATTTCACACATTTAGTTTGCCTCGCATTCAGTTTAAGATTATTAGAAGAGCCAGTGAAGTACCTTGGAAAGTGCATTGTTTACATCGTCATAATTTGTTTTACACCTGTCAACGTTAAAAATTAGCGAGGTGTCATCTGCAAACAAAACAATTTCACAAACATTTTCTACAAAGAAAGGTAAATATAATTAATGTACATTAAAAAAAGAAATGGACCTAAAATTGAACCCTGAGGAAGGAATATTTTCACATGAGATCCGGCTGATTTTGTACCGTTAATATCAACTATTTGTATATAGAGATAATAGGTATTAATTTGAAAAGACAGCATGCCTTATCAAGAGTATAATCTTATCATGTTGTGTATGGAATGAAAAGGTGAGACTACTGGCAAGTTTATAAATAGCAAATTCAAATACATATGTGAATCAGTGCCGGCATCTTTTAATTAGAGACAACAATTAAAACTAATATTTGGATACACAATTAAAATATCGATACGATATTTTTTTTCATCTGCCCATCTCAACACTTTACTTATGTCAAAACGAAATATCAAAGCTTTGTTTTTTTTAATTTTTGCTTTTAAGAAGGCAAAGAAAACACAGCCCATACATCCCCACTTTGTTTTCTAATTTCTGCGAAATTGAAAAAACATAAATATTTGGATTATCCATCCTTTGAATGTAGATATTTTGATAGTAAGATAGTAATCTTGGACATGACTTAATACTTTATATCAAAATACCTATTAAGTTTAAGTATCTATAAAGTTAGGTTTTAGTATATATCTTGATTATCAAAAAGATTTTTTTCCATACAAAATTGTTGCTGGAACAAAACGCTTTTGTAAGTTTGCCTTATGTTTGACATGCGTTTTTGGCGGGATTTTATCGAGTGCGGTTGGTTTGGCGGTTGGCGACTTATTTTAACTATTCTTTAATTCGTTCATAGTGGATATAATGAAATAAAATTGGTGTGATTTTGTGTTACAACTGTCTGCGGAACTGAAGAATTAGTGGAATCTTTAAAATATTCGCTATTCCGGTCATGTGGACATGAGAACTTTATTGTAGTGTTGACTACCTCACAGAAGCTAATCGAAAAAACCAACTCGATACATTTCGTGCCAAACACTCCAAGAAGATTAAGATTTGTATTTATGTATACGACTGAAGAACTAGTATCCATGGTCATGAATTATTAAAAAAATGAGGTTTCAGGCCCATTAAATTTGAATCGCAAATAATTTTCAATCAAAACTGCCTAAAACAGTGTTAAAATTACTAAATTTATAAATTAAGAACCTTGCCAAAAGCTCACTGTATGTATGTCATTCAGTTTTATACAGCTCCTGTAAATTTTAATTTGATGTAATTATACCATTTTGTTTGCCAGCTCCTCAATTATCAATTCTCAGATTGGACTCCTTTTCGCTATTATGATTTTGACTGTTATAGTTTATAAAAAAAATACTGAACTAAAACCATAAATATATAGAAAAGTTTACCTTATAAATACAAGAAATGACTCCCAAATTCCATCCCCGACACCATAAAGGTAATGAAAACATGTAATGCCAGCACTTCACCTAGCTGTTTGTGTTTGCTATTTGTAAGCTTGGCATCACTCTGTCCTTTTCAATCGTTGTAAAGCATGATAAGGACCGGCTGATGTCAAGTTTATAAATAGCAAATACGAATAGTCAAAGTGAAGAGCAGGAAACATTTTTGTAAAATTTTATTGATATATATGAGGAGCTGGCGAACAAAACGTTTTAATTACACATTTGGTCAAACTACTTTTTTTTACAATCTGGAGGTTTCGGACCCGTTGAATTTGAATCGCAAATAATTTTCAATCAAAAGTGCCTAAAACAGTGTTAAAATTACTAAATTTATAAATTAAAAGCATGCCGAAAGTTCACTGTAAGTATGTTATTCAGTTTTATACAGGGTGGCCGGGGAGTTGACGTTCAAACGTAAAATTTAGATACTTTATGATGAGGAGTATCCAAATCACCCCCATGTATGTTCTACGATTTTGCGTAGTTTTCGAGTTATAATTTTTTTAATGATTTTTTTCGTAATTTGCACCTAATTTTTTTCTCATTCTGTTGGACGTTTCTGGTTCAGTTTTTTTGTGATAACTGACTAACATAGTCTAACCTAGTACCCTAAAACTTATGGTTTATCTAGGCATTGCAGAATTTACTTAGAATTTGTTCGAAAGTTCAAAATTACGATTTGAGCTCAGTACACACAAATTTTGAGTTCAAAGTGCATTTAGAAACTTCCTGAAACATTAAACTTTAAAACAAGGCCAAATAAAGATAGGGTTAATGGGGGTTTATTTTCTGTAACTGACCTTCAAAGTAATTTAAGGCATTTTTCAAAGAAGAAAAATAATTATTTTCTTTTATTTAAATCTGTGCCTTTCTCTCAGTTATGATGGATTTGAGTAAGTATCGGCCAGATTTTCGTATAAATACAAGAAATGACTCCCAAATTCCATCCCAGACACCATAAAGGTAATGGTATCATGTAATGCCAGCACTTCACTTAGCTGTTTGTGTTTGCTATTTGTAAGCTTGGCATCAGTCTGCACTTTTCAATCCTTGTAAAGCATGTTAAGTATAATGCGATTCAAATAATAATAGGAAAGCCAATGACCTCCATCTGTCAAATGTCGCTTGAGAAGTACGGTTTGCAAAAAAAAACTCGAAATACTTTTTTAGCACTCAGCTGATTCTAGAATAAAAACCAAACATTTTTAAACAAACAATAACAAATATTGTTAATTAATATTGGTCCCGATTCTGGCGTGATTCTCTAAACTTAAAACTAAATTTAACATCAGTTTCTCCTTTTCGTTCTGTATAGAGAATGACAAGGATATACTGCTGTCAAATTTAAGTTTAGGTTTAGAGAACATGCTAGAATCGACACCATTGGTTGATATTTTATTTTCATTTATTGAGCTTTGGCTATGAATGTTTGATAACCTAAATCGTCAACCAAATGTCATTTTAAGTTGCGTTCAGAAACTCGATTTAAAACTTTGGTTTACATATAGGATACATGTTCGTATGTGACCTAGTAATAGTGCATGATTATTCATAACTACTCCGGCGGTAATGCCGAGATGAGCGGAATTGAAGAACTTAATTCTGATTAATGTTTTTTCTCGCACAGTCTTAATAAATAAAAATTATTAAAAATCGGTTATTTTCTTTCTCAATTTTAGTAAATAAATTTTATTAAATAAATACTTTTTTGCTCACTCTATCTTTTTCGTTTGAATTGACAGCTATGACGTCACAATATGGCGCCCCGTCGATCCTATTCTTAGTTGAATCACATACCTCACTGAAGCTTATCGAAAAAGTTGAATCGATATATTTCGTACAAAACACTCCAAGAAATATTAGTGTCACTCCCACATTCTAATGTAAATAAAATAAAAATAATAAAACTGGACTATATTGTATGGGTATTTTCCCCTTTGCTTTCACTGAAAAGGGAAAACGTTAAAATAAAGAAAAAATTGACATTTGAGTTTGAAGGGTTGATACGTCCTGTCGTTCGATTATCGAATGATGAGTGAGCTTAGGTTTTTTACTATTAATTACCCGTTAAAACTGTAAATATACATGCGAAACGATGTCTGACATTAACATGGAGAAGTTTGCTGTGCCCGACTTCATCCCCGAGCGCTACGTGAAAGAGCTCGCGCGGTCTTGTGTCGGGGGGGAGGAGCTTCATCAGCAGAAGGAGAATATCCAAACTTTAGCCGATGAAACAGCAAGTGCCCTCAAGAAAAATGTCTACGAGAACTATATGCAGTTCATCGAGACCGCCACCGAGATATCCCACCTAGAAGCTGAAATGTACAAGCTATCTCATTTGTTAAGTGAACAACGAACGGTGCTCACTACTTTATCTCATGCGTCAATTCTAGGTAATGAAAATGCTATATCACGCGAGTCCCTCGATAATCATGACGTAGAAGCCGAAAGAGCCGAGGAACAGCGTAAAAATAAGCTTAACACAATAACAGAAAAAGTTGAAGGTTGTATGAATTTGTTAGATGTCCCAGAAAGAACTTTAGTGCATGAAGGTGATTTGTTAGAAATAGACGCTGAAGAAAACACTGCCTTACAAAGGATGCATGTATATTTGTTTAGTGACTGCCTCATGCTGACATCTTGGATATCTAATCGCCGAGGTCCAATGAGATACAAATTTCAATGTAGTTACCCCATTAGCACTTTGGCAGTTGTAAATGTCAGAGATTTGGGGACAGTTAAGCAAGCTTTCAAGGTGCTAGCATTTCCTGATACAAGGGTGTTTCAATGTAACAGTATAGCTGTAAAGAAAGACTGGTTGGACAAATTTGATGTAGTCAAAAAAATTTATATTGAAAAAGAGAATTCTATACAGAAAAAGAAAGAAAATGAAGGGAAACCTAAACTTGAATCCTTAGAGTCTCCTAGTCTATCAGTGGAGGAGCTGCCATCTCCTCAGATAGCTCCTTTGCCTGAGTGGTTGGTAGATGTGACTGAAGAATTGGATGTTCTAATTGTAGAAAGACATTTTCAAAAAACCTATGAATTGATGGTGCAAGCACAAAAGGCTCTGAACACTGCAGAATTCAAAGAACACCCTCAAAGATCTGACATATTAAAAAGGATTGAACAAAAACAAAAAGCTCTCATAGAGATACTGTTGAGGGAGCTTGATGTTACTCACAATTGGAGTCCTCGAGGGGGTTTGCGTTCAGCAAGACAACCTGTAATGATACTCAATAGGTTTAATATGACCAGTCAGGCTTGTGAACTGTTTCTAGCCATATGTAGTCACACTGTTAAAGTTCATGTAAAAGGGGTCCAACTAGAGGGGTCTATCAACAGTTATGTAAAACAAGTTGGTGAAGTGTTTTTCTGCTCTCTCAGTGATGCCTTAACAGAGTTCACCACATTGTTCCCTAAAAATAAAATTAGTGCGTTTGTAGTTTGGGCTAGCATGCAACTCAGAATTCTGATGAGTCAAATAATAAAACAGATATTCACTCCCCAGTGCGCTTTAGATTCAGTGTTAGAATGTGTCGACAGTTTGAGAGAACAATGCTCACTATTCTGCGAGTTTGGTTTAGATTTAAGATTTCAAATGAACAGCTGTTTAAGATCTCCTATCACGAAAGCACTCAGAGAATATAAGGAGAAAATTGTTGATTCCATGAAAGCTAAAGTGTCTGATGACAAATGGACTCCTGTGAACATGCACACAAAAGCTGGTGTTAATAAATTCTTATTACAGATGGAAAGTTTGGGCCTTATATTAGCTAAGTATGTTATAAATGAAACTTGGGTGGATTTGTCAAGTAGTACTATATGGTTTGCACAGTCTGTAATAACTGTACAGAAAGTTGGATTAAGACTTGTTACAAAGGATATGATGGATGTTTTAGATGAATGCATCCATGCTATATTCAACTCTCGCCTTGTGCTCTCTTCGGGGAATGATACTAATTATGCCCAGAAAAATTTCAAGTTTATTTTAGACACAGTTATGCCTCTCATGTTGAGAAAATACAAAGAGGAGGTTGGTTATGATAATGAGAAACTCACTGCTCTTGCAAAGAAGTTTGGTGTCAATGTTGCACCACCAAAGAAATCTAACATCACAAAATACACAAGTAATGAGTATTTATGAGAGTAGACGTTACAATGTTGTATGTTGATGTATGAAACTTATTTTTATTATGCTGAAGCTTTAAAATTGTAATATATAGATAGTAAGCATGCAGGATTTTTGTAAGTTTATTTAATGAAAAAAAAACTGATCAAATTAAAATTTATATTATATGCAAGTTATCAATATGAAATTTTAATAAACCAAAATTTATGGTTTACTGTGTTTTTTATTTGGTAGGAATGAAACTACAGTTTACAATTTTGAAAGATTATTAAATATATTGGAATACTGTACATAAATATTGCACAAATAACATGTACTTAAACTAAAATGCAAAAACACTTCAAGACAAATCGTAAATATTCTTAGATAATGCATTTGGTAGGTAACATCATTTCTTATTCAGTCTCCATTAAAGATTCAATGAATGTGGTTCCATTAATAAGCTTTGTAGTCAATATGACAAATTCTACACTCGAGTCTTCTTGTTGGCAGATGGTTCTAAGTGCAGATATTTCTTGGTAAGTACATCCACCAATGAAAAAGACTAAGATGACTTTAGGGTTCTCTAGTGAAGAGTTTTCACTGGAGATAGAATTGCGACGGATCATACGTGGTTGTAGTGTTTGCAGCTCATCCACTGTTGGTCCTGGAAGAGATCCTAGTACATCCTGGATACCTGGAGAAAGAAATACATCTTAGTATTATAATTTACATGATTTGGAGGATAGAAATTTTGCTTATTTTTAGTTTTCAGTAATTTCAGTTAAAACAGCTCTATTCAGAAATTGATATAAACAAACGATTTTTTTACTGTTTTAGCTAATCAAGTCGTAAATCCAATCTTTGACCTTTCGCTTTTTAGGTGACTGCATTTACTAAACCATTGAATTCTTTGGTCAGACGCCCGAAGTTAATGTCGCGGGTTAAAATTCAACCTGGTAATGGTGATTATACAAGTATTCTTATAAACCATTCGCTTCACAACCTGTACTATTTCTCTGGTAGAGAATGTCTATGGCATTAAGTCTGCTTGCTGTTTATCGTTATAAAATAATTCCTTCACCACATATATCTTGTTCAGAACTGGGTAATCGACAAAGATGTAGCTTTAAAGTAAGGGTGGTCCCCAAGTCCGACTTTTTGTAGGACTTGTGCGTTGCACTATTGCAAACAGTTCGTTCTATTTTTCTCTTACAAACAATCAGTTACCGATTTATCGGACGCAGGCCCCATATACCCTTAAAACTTTTAAGTTAAAAGTGTATAAAAAAAATGGTTGCCTGTAAAGTCGGTTTTACGGGCGAAGATTTTACGTGACAACGTCTTTTTCTCGGTAGAATATTTATTGATATGAATATAATTAAATTGCACAATAGGAACAAGGAATTGAATGAAAATAAGAATTGCACAAATTTTAACTATAGAAATATATTTTGTTTACTAAAACATTGTACATGTAAACTTAAACTTAACACGAGAGACTCATCGTAACGTTACCGAGCGTTACACTTTTTCATAAGTGACTCCCAGCCGCAACCTAATTTAAGACGTTGTCACGTCAAAACACATAGGTATTTACACTTTAGCAGTGCCACATTTGGCTCCAGGATGTTTTTTATTTTTACTTTACTTGATAATACAATTTGGTGTAGCTATGTAGCTACTTTGATCATTGGTACGTCAGGTATTTGGGTCAAACGTGCGTCAATTATAATGAAGCCAGTTAACGACGCCCAGAATATGGCCGCAATTAAAATGAGTATTATGAACGAGAGATAATAAAAAAGGTTTTGTGTACAGAGTTGATAATTGTTGTTACATGTTTTTTTCCGCCTTTCCAAGGTCGTATGCGATTATTTATATTCATATCGGAAACAGAATACGTATAAATAATTATTAAAATTGATTGTGTTCAGTTAGAATCAGGGAACTTTTTAATTTTAAAACATGTGTGATGACTGATGATTATGCTGCAAATAATTTGTTTCTGAAATTTTTGACAAATGTGTCAGCCCTTTCCCCTGGGAAAAGAGGAATAACTGAAAAATAGTAGGGCGGCGCTTTTTTGTATGACAAGCGAAGAATGAGAACTCCACCAGGATTTTGCAGAGGGTCATATAGATGAGTTGTTTTACCGGGAACCCTTCCGGGATTTCGTTGTAATGCCCAATCATAGGTTAGTTCTCGGAGTCAAATTACCAAGAACTTCACTAGGATTTCGTAGTCGTGACCAATAGGCTTTTTGAAACGGAAAACTAAATTTAACATCTGTCTCTCCTTTTCATTCTGTATAGAGAAAGACAGGGATACACTATTGTCAAATTTAAGTTAAGGTTTAGAGAATCATGCCAGAATCGACACCAACCAACTAAACAGTTACCAAGAATCTCACTGAGATCTCGCAGTCCCGACCAATTATTGATGGTTCACCAGTGTTGCCAGGTTCGTTTTTTAAAAATCGGGAGGCGTTATAGAAAAAAACAGTAGATGTATGGAAAGAGCTACAAGAAAAACAGTAGATAGAGAAGCTTCCTTTTTCCCAGTTTCACCCCCCCCCCCCCCTAGAATTGGTAAATCAAATCAAGATAAAGACCAGTAACGTATGTGTTTCAGTGGCTTCTGCCGCCCTTTAAAGCTAGATTTTTTTAGACAATAACATTTATTATAAAATTAATAAGGTTACCTACATTATTAATGGCCGAAAATGCAACTCTACATGCAATTTAAAAAAAAAGTCGTATTCTAAGAAAAACAGGAGATTCATGTAGAAAAACAGTAGAACAGGAGAAATGTCAGAAAAACAGGAGATTTCCTGTAAAATCTGGAGACCTGGCAACACTGTGGTTCGCACTAAACCCATGGACGTATAAAAACAAGGGGACACAATCGCGCTCAAAAACTGTCGGAACCAATATTACGCACACGCGTCTATTGTGCGTAATTTTCAAACAATCTGGTTTTAACCGCGCAGTGGATACAACGAATATCACCAGATCCACACAAAAAAAAAACAGGAGTGCCGCATTTCAAGGCAAGTATCCCTTAAACAAAATTATGCAACTATCATGGTGTTTTCCATCGTATTGCTAATTAATAATACATTTTAATAGTTACAACGAAATATCTCTCCCCGTGTGATCGTGTTTGTCGCTCTCGCACCGTAATCTCTCAATCTCTCTCGTATAAAATTGACATTGAACCTTACTGTCAACTGCCAAGACAAAACGTGTTCATTTGAACAAATGTTTAAATGTTATTTCTATAACTTGATGCATATGTATAACATAGCGTCGCTCGTACGGTATTCGATGATCTTTTGTTAGGCGATTGCGAGGAGTCTACTTGTTTTTATACGTCAATGACTGGACCAAGAAAATTATTTTTTCGTATTTTTAGGGTTCCGTACCTCAAAAGGAAAAAACGGAACCCTTATAGGATCACTTTGTTGTCCGTCCGTCTGTCAAGACCGTTTTTCTCAGGAACGCGTGGAGGTATCAAACTGAAATTCATATCAATACTCAGGTCTACCGTCCCTTGGAGCTGTGAAAAAATCAAACTTCTAAGCCAAAGCAATCAAAAGATACAGCCGTTTATGCTGCAAATTTTCGAAACTAGCACGGGAATCAAAACCTACAGGGTACTTCCAGTGAACTTAAAAATCTTGAAATTTGGTACTAAGTAACGTCTTATAGTACTGAAGAAGGAAAAATTGCGAAAACTGTAAATTTTTAGTTACATCATCATAAAAAATATTTTTTTAAATTCAGGATTGTACGGAACCCTCGGTGCGCGAGTCCGACTCGCACTTGGCCGGTTTTTTTAAATATAAATTTTAAGTATTATATTTTTAACTCACCACTCCAGCCCTTGTTTCCTTGTTTCGCTATGTGCTCGCTTAGTCGTACAGTAAGTGGGACGTATTTGTTGGATAAATAACTTTTCTCTTTCGCGTCGAGTTCAGAGTCGTCCATTGTCAAATGTAATGCCTGTAAAACATAGTTTAGGTCAAATTATTTGACATGATAAATTTATATTAGTTGCCACTTAATTGCCTAACTACAACGGCATTTGAATTCATCCTCAATAGTGATTTATATCATAATCTTCATCATCAGCATATCTTCAATTGTTGCACAATTTGGCAGAATAGAAATAAGTGTTGTACTTAGTTTTTACAAAAAAAAGTTCGGAGGAGCTTCAGATAATAAATTTTTGGCCACCCATCCAACGACTGACCATTGCGAAAATTGCTTAAATTTCATTATCGCAGGCTTTGGCCTACACTAACCATCTCCGCTATCAAGCTACTATCATATCATGATAAAAATAATTATATTCATATTTTCAATATAAATAAATCCGTTTCGGACGGTTTAGGCAACATGGCGCAATCTTAGCCGAAATAAGTAAAAAGCAGCCTTTTCTAAATTCTTTGCTGGTTCTCCTCAATACGTACAAGGTCTACTGACGCAAATGAAACGCCTAATTTTTGACCAATGGCGTAGTTTTTTCACTAACATTATGCGTATGTAAATGCCTAAACTGAATAAATTAAATCTATTCAATTTTAATGTAGGACCCATTTCAAAGCACCTTTTGAGACTAAGGATAACAAAAAATAACTAGTCAGCCAGCTTGGGTGTTCCGCTATATTGAATTTAGAATGACGTCACACAAGTAACTATGCATTGTTATTCAAACTAAACGTATGTACAAGATTTCAGCTCAATCGAACATAAATATCTGATTCAAAATTATGTTGAAAGATTCCAACCGACAAACATAGTAACATTACATTCATACAAACAGCATTTTAAAAGAGTCCAAAAGCTCGCATATATTTCTCATTTAAAAATTAATATAATTTAAGCGCTTAATATTATTTATTAAGTTTTCTACAACGATTTTAAATACCCTAGATACACCAACAAGAACAAAATCGTGCCCGAAACCTGTCCAAAACGTACATTGGACGATCCACGGAGCTCCGTAATATGATCGCGTAGTCAAAAATAATATAGGGCATTATTTAAACATTGAAGGTCACCTTTAATACACACTGTAAAAGTCTTAATTAAAACGCATGCGTCGCAAAATTTTACGACTTATTGCTATATGTGGACAAATATACACCTTATTATATTTTTGACTCTTCGCGCATTTCTGAATGTGCTGTTAGCAATATAGCAGGTACGGATCGCGAGGAAAAGAGACGGCTATATTACTGATTTACCGACCATGCATTTGAATATCACAAATATTTTCTATAAAATCAGTTTATAGTAAGTATTAGAAGAAAATTTGCTTCAAATGCGTTGAGTTAACAAACATTAATTAGATACCCGTCGAAAGAATGATACTTTACATACTATAAGTATTTCTTTCACATTTTTTCTCAGAGCTCTGCGGCAACTTGACTTTTCAACGGTCCGCGCGTGACTGTGAACCAAGAGTGGTGTTGAAGCACTTCCTGATTGAGACACTTTTTGAACGCTCGTGGTGTATCTAGAGTATTTTATATCGTTGGTTTTCTATTAAAATAAACCAACCTTTCTAAGCACCGTGTATTGTCTAGTGCCTGTCTGCGGCTTCAGAAGGCCGCATTTCTCCAAGTTACACAGTGTCAACCAAGTACTAAGCCCGTACACTTGGACCAACTCTCGTTTGTAGTATTCTAACACTTTGGGCTTTAGACCAGAACCTGTGGCGCATTGAAGGCATATCAAGCGAAGTACCTGTTCAAAAATAGGAGTAAGGTAGTGGCACCAATGACCAGAACCAATGAATGAATGACCGATATTACCGTCCGTAATCAGTGAAAAGAAGAATAGGTCAATTGACCACTAAATTAATTGTAATTGATTTATTTAACTGTTCTACCAATCATTGTAAGAAATATATACACTATATAATATGAAGATAGTTCATAATTATAATTTCTAACCTAAAAAACTTTTTTTTGGTATAAATGTAAACTTTTTTTTCTTTCTCGATATTAACAATCTCAACTCCTTTATATGTTATGTTACTTAGATCTAGGTATAAGTGTTATTTGATTGTTTGATTCCCAAATAAAAATAAAAAAAAATGTGTGTGTCAGCTCCGACGCACGACTGGAGTTTATTCCTTAAGTTCGATAGTTTAACCATACGCAAAAAGACTTTATTTAAGTTAAAAAAGATTGATACTGTATGAACCCTTTCATAAAATAAAATTAACAAATTAATGAAAATAATATACATATATAAATATATATTTATTCATTTCATATACATTTATTATAACTAATCGACGAAATATTTTACATTAAACTTTTTACAATAGTCAATTTCAGATGTGCATAAATATATCATTAGGAATGTTGATAAATTATGTAATTATTATTATCAGACTATTATCATTTTTTTAAATATTAATTAAATCAACATTGTCTGCATTATTAATTACAGTGACAAGTGGTTTATGGTAACTAAAATAAGACATGGACGTTCGTAGATACGTGGTTCACGAATCTTGAAAATACCGCATCAATGGTGGTACCATACCTCATTGTCCCCATTGCTCTATATATATGCAAATCGATTCTTAAGGAGTTAACTCCAAAAATAATATATGTTCTGTTAAAATGAAAATTTGTTATTTTAAGTTATTGTACATCTTAGTGTTTTTATTTGTTTTGTTACCTTAAGTCATGGAGGGCGATAACAGAGTCATGTTGTTAAGTTAAATATTTGTAAGGACAAATCTCAGTTTGTCCTTGGTGGGCGATTATGTATACGCCATTTGTGCATTTAAAATTTTAGTTCATGTGTATCAAAATAGATGGCGCTGTAGTTCGTTGCATCACGCTTGTAAATATGTTTGGAGCTACATATAGGCAAAACGTCACCTAACTAATAAAGAAATCTATGGTCTAACAAAATACACTGTAGTTTCAATTTAATTCTTTTGCACCTAAGCTCTCGGATTTAAGAGTCATTTTGGCTCGAACAGGATGCGCACCAAAAACGTAACGAGGTCATTCATCGATAGATTTTACTCTTAACATTTTTCTCATACCGGGACCCTTATATATGCAAATCGATTCTTAAGGAGCAAACTCCAAAAAAGGAAAAAATATATGGTAACACTCAGTGTATATAGCTCAGTATTCCCATACTTAGCAACGGTCACCCACTCCCACTTTCATTGATCACAAAAGAAAATTTCGATCACTGGCTCCTGTCGGTCATTGGTGCCATTACCTTATTGCATTGCTAAAGTTTAGGAAGGCACATGTTTGGAGAAATGAGAAGAAAAAAAATCTTCGCTACCTTGAAATAAGAGGGTCTTAAGTAGCGATATTGGCTGAAACATCTGCGAATATCGGCACATCAAGCGATGTTCTTGTAGGAAAATTAGGTTATTCCATTGCTAAAGTTTATAAAGGCACATATTTGGGGAAATGAGAATAGAATGATTGCTTACTTTGAAATGCTTGAAATTAGTGGATAACGGGTTCTAAAATCGATTTTTTTTGTCAACAGTCTGTCCCTAACATGCTTTATAAGGAACGAAAAGGAAAGACTTGATTTCAAGTTGACAAATAGCAAACACAAATAGCCAAGTAAACTGCCGGCATAGGATAATATCTATCTTTTTAGAATTTCTTGATTTGACAAAATGACATTTCATTTAATGCATTCTCAGACAAAATTTGTACAATTGGACAGTTTATTTCATATTAGGTTCATTTGATGTTTCATAAATAAACTTGTCATTTTAAGGTTTGATAAATGAAACGTAGATTATGAACTATTTCATAAACATGCAATCTCGCTATTTAAGATACAAGGTTTTGTATTTTATTTTGTAGGTCATAGTTACCTTAGTCAGTGGTTCTTTTCTAGCTATGAGATCCTCTATGAAAGGACACACTTTCTCGTTGTCTACGCAATTCACGAAGTCTTCCTCGCACTGTATAGCGTCTTGGAAGTCAAAACCATCTGTCGTCTGCAATATCAATTAAGATATAATTTGATTTGAAAAAGTGTACCTATATGGCAATGATGTTTTAAAGTTATAGATAGGTACGTCATACACGCTTCTAATTAGGCAATACGAAAGTCAGGTAATTGCCCGTGTTGCATTCAGTCGGCTACGCTCTCTTGCAGCGGCAATACTTCCCTACAACGTGTAATATTTTACGTTTTTCCAGGCAAAAAGCCCTATGTGTGTTTTTGTATAGTACACAAATTACACTGGAATTATTAGAGAAAAGAAAAACGTGTCATTTCATTGGTAAGTATGAACAGTGATTTCCTTCTTATTTTGACAGTTGCTGACACCTTTGACACGTGAAAGCTAAAGAGCGAAACGTAATCTGCTTTATGCATGACAGTGAAAGACATTTGTGTGATAATCGAAATTCAATTCATACCTAATCCACATTGAATACACATAATATCGTATCGTCGTACGTATGGGTGATCGGCGATACTGCATAAATACATATTCGGAATAGGTATTTTTAAATATTAGGATTAGGTGGAATAGTTATCAATTTTACCTATTCCGACCCATCTCTAAACCGCCGACTTTTTTTCGCGGGGGAGCGGGTGTGAAATCCTCATTGACACCCTACAGCCGGCTGCAATGTTATGTTAGACTCTTACTGACTAAAAGCTTCATTTAAAGCGATCATCCCCTGAGAAGGGGATGATGCGGTATAACCACCGATCTTTTCAAGTGCTTATATACTTTTCATAAAAACGTAACGTTAGCGCGACTCAGAATCCGTTGCCGTTGGTACTCGCGGTAGCGTTGTGGAACTAATGATGCGGTTTATAAATAGTTTTATTTTGTTGCAATGCAAGGTTTTACGCTACAATAACTTCATCTATGTGCATTCGCCCGGATAGCGAAGGGTGCGGGTTCGAGTCCCTTCTGCTGCCTGGTCCGCGTGGAATATTGTTCAGTAAAATTTCTTTAGATTTGAAAATTAGCACTTTAAAGTTTAATATTTCGCAAAGGGATCCCAAAATTCGAAAAATAGTCTTAGAAAAACTCCTAAGTTATTTTCAAGGGCCTATTCAACGATATCCCACATGATGAGGTAGGTGATAAAAACATCTCCAGGTTACATGTAGAGGAAGACACTTTTTTTTAAATTTTGTTCTATCATTCGGTCCGCGTGATCAATATACATATCACCACAAAATTTCAGCTCTCTAGAGCTAATAGTCTTCAAGAAAAACCGGGGACGGACAAACGGACATGACGAAACTATAAGGGTTCTCTAAAAAAGAAAAAAAATACCTCTTTGATATAGTCTGCTATGTGCGTGTGAGTGATCAGCGACTGTTTATTCGCAAGCATTTGCGGCAGCCGGGAAACGAATTGTTTGATCTCCTGTACTGATTTCTCGTTGTGTCTCTCGTCTAACTGGGTTTTTATCACACGCAACTTCTTCGAAATCGCCGCACCCACCTGGAAGTAAATAAATATTGCTTACACTCACACCAACAAAGTATACACTTAGTATCCCTTGGGAGAAAAAAAAACAATGTTGTCGATTCCGGCATGATTCTCTAAACCTAAACTCCAATTTGACAGCAGCGTATCCTTGCCATTCTCTATACAGAATGAAAAGGAGAGAATGATGTTAATATTAGTTTTAAGTTTAATGAATCATTCCAGAATCGACACCGATATTTTTTATATTGCAAATCTGCATACTGTAATGTGTTGTGATAACAATAAATAAAAAAAACAATAATTATAAATTACTTTGTTTACTCAATAATACTTTAACTTTAAGATTTTATAGGATTATAAAACCAGTCACAATTATTCACAATTTAATAATGGCGGTGCCATCTTGTTTTTTCTTCTTACTTAAACTAATACTACACATACTTTCTTGATTATGAGCAGCAGCAGCAACAGGAAGAGCCCTTAATCTGTATTATATACAATATTACAGACAAAACGACGTAATTTGGCTGAGCTGCTAATACTCGTAAGTACTGTAAGTGCAAGCCCAGATGACAAGATTCACGGGCGTGATTCATTGATCCATGTCCTAAATGGTTAGTTCTTCTCTCACAATCAACTCAACCTCACAATCGCGCACTGAAGTATTATTATACGCGTGTAAATCACGTCAACTGGGCATACCCTTGCAGTACATATTATCAGTTCAGCCAAATTATGTCTTTCTGTCGGTATTATTGTATATAGTAAAATATAGATTAAGGGCTCCTCTTGCTAGAGATTCGAGCTGCATATAAACAAAGAAGATCCTTTTGCGAAAATAATCGACGATAATTAAACAGGGTGTCATAATGGATCGCGCGATGCCCAATCGTGTGATGCTGTTACTAAACTATTTTTACCGCACTGGTTCCCAAATTAGCTCAATTGGCGACATGTTCCACTCTGCAGAATTTGGAGTAATCCAAACCAAAATTATTTATTCAGTTTCGGCTGTTACAAGCACTTATGAATGTCAAGCTACGCCATCGGTTCGTAAATCTACGGAGAGAGACATTGTACTGAGAAGAACCGTCAAGAAACTCAGCAAGCGCTGTTTTTCCCTGTATTATTATTTACTGAGTCGTCTAGTTGAAAAATTACTTCAGAGATGATTCATGAAGTCACCATTCATTACAAAATGTGAGATATACATTAATTGTTCACCTACATTTTGATTGCTTTGTTATACTATACACTCATCACATCTTCAATAGCAAAGCAGTAGGGCAGACTCATCTCCGCTGGCAGCACCTGTTCACGAGCATGACGCATGAACCAGATCGACAATGTACAATCATACAATTAAACCCATCTTACGATAGTTTTGCCCGTGTTTATGCGACGGCTTACGAGATCTGAGAGACACTTTTGAAGAAACCTGTATGTTTGAATATCATCGCACGACGAGAACACTTCGTGTCATCATACGATCGTTGCCAATTAGGACGACACCATACATCATCAATTGAGTCAAACTTTATCTTTCTGCCGGATCTATACATATAATAAAATGGTAGGAAAGTCAAAACTGTACATTGAATATTTTTTTTAAAAGAATAATTGGGGTGTGCTCTACAATCGAAACCGAAGCCAAAAATATAGTTTTTTGAATTTTTGTCTGTTTGTCTGTATGTATGTCCGGGATAAACTCAAAAAGTACTGCATGGATTTACTTCAAATTTGGCACGAATATTATTAAGAAGTCGGGTCAACATATAGGCTACATAATATTACCACGCTTTCGCCAACGGGGAACGAGCAGTGAACCTTTATTTCTAACTAACTCCACGCGTACGAAGTTGCGGGCGGCCGCTAGTTCTATATAACATTGGATCTATAAAACATACCGCGTTAAAGTTGCAATCCCTGAGATCCGCAAACAGTTCCTCGTTGGAGTTGAGTATGATCCGTTTCTTCTCCCTAGCGGTCACTTCCGGGCTGGCGTCGTCGGGGCTCACGAACTTGTGGCCCGGGAACGTGGCAGTGGAGTTCTTGATACCGTACAATTCATCTGCATCAATAGGGTATTTGACAAGTTTTAGAAAACGATTTTACATTATTTACTAATTTTTATGAAGGCATATAAAAGAGGATCATTCATAATTCTGTTCTGTATTTTAGTAAAAAAAAAAACTTAATAAAAAGTTGCTCTGGGCGATAAAACGTTAAACCATACATTGTTATGTCAGCTTGACTGGAAGTTTCCTAGCGTCTGACGTCATTTTAGTCTTCGCCAATCCCAGGCGTTTTCGGTCAGGTGCCCATAGAACAAAATAATCATTTCTATTTAATGATTCTTTAGAAAACTTATTAATTATTTGTTTTCTCAGAATAGTAAAATTACTGCTAATATTCATATTAAATACATATGTCAACAATAAGCACTTTATTTTTCCTATTGTCAAAAAGCTTATTATTCCATTATTTTATTAGAGAATTAAATTTTTATTTTTATATAATAGTGTAGATATTGGCAGGATTCTCTAAACTCAAAACTAAATTTAAAACGCGTCTCTCCTTTACGCTCTTTCTCGACGCGGCTCTTGTCTAAGTGAATATGTGCACATATTCAAAGAGGAATCAAAGGTGCCTTAATATTAAAACACTTTGTATCAGAACTTTTTGTATGATTTCATCTGGATCACCTTTATTACTCAAAACAAAGCTCAATTTTGCATACCTATTAGGCCCTCATAAGTGAGCTGTGTAACCATGACACTGGTGAAGTCAATGGCTCTGTCTAACAGCAGCAGATGGTCAATGCAAGAAGTGGTTGAGCCTTTGGGCCCAGTGCCTTGCTCCTCTTTGTTTAGGCGGCATAGCAAATCCCAGACCTGGACAACAACTATCGTAAATAAGAGTTCTATGACAATAAAATAAATCATCATCATCAGCCTGTTAATGTTCCCACTGCAGGGTCACAGAGGCCTTTCCTATGGATGGAATAGGGAGACTGGGCCATGACCCACCACTCAGGTGGGACCAACGGGTCCCAGCTGCATCTGCAGTCATAAACCGTTGTTTAACGTGCCTTCCATGGCATGGAGGAGCTTGAGATAATAAGTTTTGATCACCCTTCCAATGATCAACCATTGCGAATGTCACTTAATTTTCACTCCATGGAGTACCTCCTTCGCCTTTCCATAAATACTTTGTGGAAAGTCGGAGGACAAATAAGTCATACTGTTTGTCATTAACACTATCACTATCTTTAAAGTCCTAGGATTTTATTATTGGTGTGACATAGAAAATAATAATAAAAAAACTTTTTGACCTGTTTGGCTGCAACTCCTTTGCCAAAAACTCGTGGTATAATACCATAAAGTTGTTGGATTGTACGCAATGCTTGGGCTGCATTGTAAATGCATGTTGGATCACCTTCCAGATAGTTCTCTCTATGAAAAAAGAATCAAGGCAATTTATTTATCATTAAATGGTAATCTAGATGGGCAGTATAAATAATTTGTGTGCAAACATTTTTTATTGATTATGTTGGACAGTCACATGGTTTAAAACCTTAAATGATATCTATAATAATCTGTTTATAAGTAAATAAGTTATAAGACTTGTAATGAAGAGTATGTGAAAGTTTATCAAATTTAAACTTGGTAGGTTTATACCCTATTAAAAATAAAAGAAAATAGCCTTTAATGACGCTACCTCATAGTTTAACATTATAAATAACTAGATAAAACAATGTAGGCAGTTTGACAAGTCTCACAAGCCCTCCCCCAGCCTTTATATAATATCTTTCCATTTTTATTTATCTTTAGAAGATAAGCTGTTTCCAAACTTTTCTCCTGCTTTTTTGATAATTGACAAAACAATCATAAAACATTAAATTAACAAATGTGATGATGAGCTCCAGAAAGTAATTTATTAGTGTGACAGTATTCTACTCACCTGAAATCATTTTGTAGTTCCAAAGACATCACATCACTTTCAAAGGGAAATAAGTCACACCTGAATTCTTTAATAGATAGGTTGCTCACTCCTCTATTTGTAAGCTGTTTTTCACACAGTTTACTCTTTCGTGGTACAAGAAATAAATGAAACTCTACAACTGTGTTTTGCTTGGCCCTGTTGATAAGGCACAAAGATTAAGTATCACAACCAAACATGCTTACATTACAGGAAATAGTGTAGGACTCACAGTTAATAACTTATGCATTACTTACTTATGTCTAATTCTAACATTGATAAAAACAATTATCTATTTAATTTTTCATATTTTGTGTTTTATCATATTTAGTAAAGGTTTTTAATTTAAACATCTAGTAAAATATATAGATAAGTTCAAAGAGAAACTATTTAGGATTGATTTGAGACATAAATGAAGCCGGGATGTACAGTAGAACTTGAATAATAAGAGGAAAATCAGCAGGTTTTGTTTTAAAGCCCTGAAAAATAAAATGGAGGGCTACACAGACCAGGGTGTAACTAGTAAAATCTATAAACATTTGCTTCTTAAACACTCTATCAAGTTGGAAAATAAACAATTGCAAAAAAAAATATTACCTTAATGAGAGAATGTAGTCTGCAACCAAATCCATCAGTGAGATTTTAGGTCTGGCTATAAACACAATATGTTTTACTGATATTGTAGGAAGGTTTCCTGGCCGTAATGGGAACATATCTGCTACTTCATGATCTTTTAGCAGGGAATATTGTGCCACTAAGCCTACAGGCCCAGCCAGCCATTTATCCCAAATAATTACCTATAAGGAAAAATATAAGAGTAAAATAACACTCTAAAATACTAGATTTTCACGCAGTCACTATGTGGTGAATAGTCACACTATGAGGGGATCTTATTTATATTGTTTATTCAGCATTAATTATAATGAAATTGGTATATAATAGCCAGCTTAACTTACTTTCGGCCCCTCACAAAGTTGAAGCAAGTTCAACAATTCTTTTCTCATAGTTTCTTGCACTAATGCGACATTAAGTCGGCCGCCAGACAAATGCGTACTCATTTTTGAGTCTTTCATCGAGCGATACGATGGTATTATGATATTTTAATTTGAAGAAATAGATCAGAGAACACAAACTACAACAGGAAAATAATCACAACAATTTTACGTCAATGTCAAACAAAGTGACATTGACACTTATTATCATTTATTTTAAAATTCCCTGCTCGGAAAAGTAAACATTTTTTTGATCATACTGCCAGTCTTCAATCACTCTGATTTTGTGCAAAGAAACAGATAGGCAGAAGAGCACAAAATGTTTTTTAATTTAATTAAAGAAAAGTTAAATATTCAACACTATTGAAAATCAGCAGAGCAGAAAGAGAAAATCAATTGTAGATAAGTTGAATGACGAGATGATAATATAAAGGTGGAAACATAGTTACTTGTCGTGGCGTGTCGTGGTGCTCACTGTCGTGACGGCGAGTGTGCATTTAGACGCATTTAAACGTTATTTCTGATCAGTTGATATGAAACCTTTTCGGCGTTTAAATATGTATCATATTTTCTTCTGATTTGGATAACGATTTTGAAGATCTTCAATTACTGCTAAGCAATAAAAGTTTTTGAGGGCATAAAAAAATAAGGTCCTGGCCTAATGAATTTTAATATTTCAGCTATTTCTTCTCTAATTCAATTATCCTATTTATCTTTACACTTCGTGTCATATAAAAAAATTCTTTGACGAACAAACTGAATGAGCTCGTCATTAATTTTTCAGAAACATGTTGTAAACATAAGGTCCGCTGGTTGTTCACGTCGTTTGATGATGCGCCACGAGCCACGCGGTATAGGAACACATTGGCATGTTGTGTTGTGTCGCGTCATAATCCTCCACCACCGACCGCTCTGGCGCAATCAGTGGCAAGCAGTCGGCCAATCCGCGCCACGACAGAATGCGTCACGCCATGGCACGACCTACTAATATGACTCTAACCATAATAAATGTATGAAACCGATGTGCTTTTGGCGCGTCACGACATGCCACGACACGTAAATATGTTTCCGTCTTAACCATAGCTATGCAAACATATTTAGACATCTTCTAAATATAGTTATATTGTACGTAATTCTGTTTCTACGCGAGCAATGCATGAGACTCCCAGGTGCTCCAGATTTCCTCGTTAGTTTGGGTTCATAGTACATATGGCTCGTTGTATTTTAGGATTATTGATCTTTTGAGTCCCCTGAAGCCAGAGAACTAAAGGTACTTATTTGCTCATAAGCATAGTGATTTTAACCTATGTTATGTAGGTAAGCTTTTATTTTGTGCGAAATCTAAATATCCAGCAGTGACCATTTGTAATTTATAACAGTTTTCCAGAAACTTCTTAGGTAACTCGGGCACTAGACAGCAACGACCATGGCCAGTGGCCGCAACGACCAGATTAACTAAAGAAACCATACGAACGGTGCGCACATAGCCGCAACGGCCAACTGGCCGTATACCGGGTTGCACGACTGATCATTACGACCATTTTACGTATTTTCCTATGAGCGCTCGCGCATTAGTTCTGCGACCGCGACTGGCTGGCAGTAGTGTCGATTCTGGCATGATTCTCTAAACTTAAAACTTAATTTAACATCGGTCTCTCTTTTTCATTCTGTTTAGAGCATGACAAGGATACTCTATTGTCAAATTTAAGTTTAGCTTTAGAGAATCCTGCCAGAATCGACACCAGTAACTAGCCATTCCAAGGAATTTATATACTAACTAGAATGCATACGAAAATATATGGGCATTCAAAAAATGTACTTTAAGTTATACATAAAATCCATTTTTGTTTTTACCTGCATATGGGGGAAAATTACTCCAAACGCGACACGGCCGGCGAAAGTGGAATCTGTCCCTCTCTTGCAACTGTTTGCGCACACTACTAGAACGAGACAGATTCCACCAATTCAGCTATGCTCTTGGAACAATTTTGAGGGTCGCGTAAGCATTCCAGTTAGTATATAAGTTTCTTGAGCTATTCTGAGTGACAGCTGACTGATCCCTAGACGAGCGTTACTCATACTTTTTTTTACTTTGGCCATATACATTCAAATACTAAACTGTGACAGGACCATTGACACCTTTTATCCTATTCACTATGATTTATGAAGTGAAACTTCTTTAGGCACGCTTGACTTGGGGGGTAAACTGTCGAATGTGTGACGAGTGACGATTTTTGCGTTACGCGCGCGGACTCAGCGCAGACGGGTGGGTGATAACAGATCCAGCGCGGATTGGTGGGTGAAAAAGGACCCAATGCGGTTGGAGGGTGATAACGGACCCAGTGCGAATTGGTGGCTGATATCGGACCCAGCGCGGATTGGTCACTAATAACGGACCCAGTGTGGATTGGTGGGGATAACGGACAAAGTGCAGATTGGTGGGTGAGAATGGACCCAGTGCGGATTAGTGGATGATAAAGGACCCAGTGCGGATTATGGGGTGATAACGGACCCAGCGCGGATTGGAGAGTGATAACGGACGCAGTGCGGATTGGTGGATGATAACGGACCCAGCGCGGATTGGTGGCTGATAACGGACCCAGTGCGGATTAGTGGGTGATAACGGACCCAGCACGGATTGGTGTGTGATAAAGCTGTCTGTCTACACACCAAAGCCCGCCGGCCCGGCGGCACGAACGTGGCGGCTTCTGAATGTTGCGATTCGGATAACTTGGCCGGCGGCATGACAGTCGCGGCATGTCGTTCACAATATTAGTGCTTGCCGAGTGTTCGAAGAAATTGCGCGAGTATTACGAATTATTACTACGTATTTTCAATATTAGTAATGGACAAGGACGATAATGATCTAATTTTAGCAGCTTGTGCAGTTACTTTAGGTAGATACCTCAAAACACGAAATAGTTGGGTTAGGCCAAGCATAATGAGTCGCAGTTGTTATAGTACTAGTGAAAGATTGTGTGATTTAAAAAAGGATGACATCGTATAACAGAGGCCAATTTCTTTCAAAACATTTATGTCATTAGCCAGTTCCTTTGTACTTTGAATATTTACTGAATATCGTTGGACACAGAATAACTAAACAAGACACTAATTACAGAAAAGCAATTTCACTAGTAAACCGATTGTCAATAACATTAAAATATCCCAGTTCGGGCAATTCATGTTCAATAGTCTTTGCGATGTCTTCAAAGTATCTCAACTAATTTTAAGCATTATTCCTGAAGTATGTCGTCTTTCCATTCCATATTGTTTTTGTTGATAAAAAACACAGTCACTTCACTATTCCTAAAAGGCCGGCGGCATAGAGAAAAGTAATACACTGGAAACCGGCGGGTAACTGAATGAGCGCGGGATGTGCCGCCGGGAAACACGCGCGGGCGCAGGCCGCCGCCGGCAAGCTTGTTTCAAAATAGGGCCGCCGGCCTAGCCCGGCGGGTTTATACTGCCATTCCGCACAGCTTCACTAGACCCAGTGTGTACTGGTGGATGATAACAGACCCAGTGCAGATTAGTGGGTGATAACGGAACCAATGCGGAATGCTAGGTGATAACGGACCCAGCGCAGACGGGTGGGTGATAAAGGTCCCAGCGCGGATTGGTGGTTTTTTTTCTATCAACAAATCTTCAGGTTAAGTTTATGATTTTCAGATCATTGGAGCTAAAGAAGTTTCACTTCAGTTGTGTGGTCGCAAGCACACTCGCTTTTTTTTCTGTAGAATCTTGTGTTCGATAGCAAGTAAGGAAAAACTGTTTTTATCACTATCTAAATATTAAATATAGGCTGTACTGTGATTCCATATGAAATACTTGCTGTTCTATGACATTACATGAAAGACACACGCGAAGTGGACGCCCGGGATACGCTGTAGCAAAAACCGCTGTAGCTGGAAAATAATAATAATAAAAAATAAAAACCGATAAACCGTCGTCATATAAACAATATTTTAAAAATCCACTTCCTTAAAACAAAAGCGGTAAGTACAAAAGTAAAATATTTACATATCAACAGTGGAAAAGCAAAATCGCTTAGACACCACTTTAGTAACTTTACAGAAACGGGTATCAAAGTTTTCTTTAAAAAAATCATAACTCATTGTAAATGACAAGTAGCGCCATAAAAATATAAACAAAAACGAGCGAGCCTTACAGTGGTCGCGTATGATGTGTTACATTTGAAATCTCACCTTAAATTAGTAAAAAAAAGGAATAAAACCTACTATAAAAGGAATAAGCCATTTGAACATTATGTTCTAAAATCAAATCAAATAGCGTGCGCTTCCCAAACTTCCTGTTACACACTTCCGTCCCACTTCACGTAATCACTCCCACAAATTGCAGGAAAGCTGATGATGATGATGATTGACAAAGACAATACAAAAACAGTTAAACCGTTTAACCAGTTTTTCAAGAATTTCGAAAAAATACTTACACAAGAAAACTTGAAGTTCACCCGTTTAGCTAGTTTATAAAATAGTAGGTAAGAATTAAGCGCAACTATTTGTTGAATTTTTTTGCGATCTTTTCAGCATTTTTTTTTCGATAAACAATTTACCTATATCGATCGATCGATAATGCATTAATTTAAGAGAGTTTTTTTTCCCGTTTTTGCCAAAGATTTAAATCGTAAGATTTTTCATTGTTGCTCCGCTTCTATTAGTTGTTACGATAGGTGAGTTATATAGCTAGCCTATAGCTTTCTTCGTTCCTCAGATTAGCGCATTCAACCAATCAAAATCTTCAGCTTTATAATATTAGTATAGATTGTATCTAATTATGGGAAAGTTATATTCTGCTTTTGGTAATGCACACTGAAAGAATACTTAAAAGCCTGATAGCGAGCGTCGCATTGTTTATCTAAAAACGATTTGATAAAAGCAAAAATTATCTATACTAATATTATAAAGAGGAAATATTTGTTTGTTTGTTTGTATTGAATAGACTCCGAAACTACTGGACCGATTTGAAAAATTCTTACACATTCCTACATTATCCCTGATAAACATAGGCTATAGAATATTTTTAAAAATCACATCGGTTGTATGGGTGCCCCAAGGGGCACAATATCAAGACAAGACAATTCTTGTCTTGATATTTCCTTAAAAAAGGAACGAGCGCTTGGACCCCATGGACCCATGGTCTGAACACCAAA